GAAAAGGAGGCGGAGAAGGGCGACTCGAAACAGACTGGCCCGTGCTACAGGAAGGGCAGATGAGACTGGTCTATTTGGGGGGCCAAGCTCTCGACCGTTCATTGAGCCGTCGATTCGGCCTCAATCTCGACTTTCTGAGGCGTCCGAAACCCAAGACGAAGCTCTTCTAATCAGAAAACAGGTCCTGGATGTACATGCTCCCAGCACCGATCGGGCCAGCGACTGGGGTCCAGTTTCCGCGACACTTTCTTCGGGATTAGTCTCCGATCATCCTCTCGCCTCAGGACAGCACCATTTTGTGTCGCCCTCCTCTGATGGGACTCGTAGTGTCGGGGGCGCCGGTTCAACCGACGCTGGCAATCTAGGGGGCACCTCGGCCACACATCTTAGCCCGACTTTGCCGGGGTTCCAAGAGTCCCCTCGACCTGTCGAGATTCGTCAAAACTCGGACTCCTCACCTCTGAGACTTGGCCACAGGTCCGACAACCGCGTGCCTCCTGTTGAGACAGTCTCCACTCCGGCCGTCCTTCCCTCCTCCCCTCCCTATTCTTCTTCTTCTTCCTCGTCTCCTTCCATCCAACTGCCTCGTCGACAAGATCCTGCGACGACGCCTCCATCACTTCCGGACCCTTCAGAAGCCACGAGCCTAGTGACCCCGGCCTCCTCTTCCGGCACCTCATTGAAGATGGAGGTCAGTCCTTTACACATCCGGCCCCGTAACGAGGATCAGACACCGATGACACCATCCCTCCCCACGGTCTCAGCATCGCTAGATGACGAGTCGTCAAGGCAATCAGCCGTGATCCGTAGTGTTGGAGAGCCTGTCTGTACCGAACTCGCCGAGCCAGTCTTGTTGTTGGGCGGTGATGTGCCTGTTTGTAGGTTTAAAGACAGACGTAAATGGGTCAAAGGTCACAGGACCAATCGACGAGGCAGTTCTGCTCAGAATCGACGTGACACAGTCCGAGGGCTCGTGCAGACCTGCGAACTGAGGGGCTTGAAGCTCGAGCAGGTAACCGGTTTCACTGCATCTCTGGCCTCGGCGGCTTTACAGCCTCCTCCTTCGTGTCTGTTGGAGCCGCAGGCAGACCATATTGCAGCCAACTTGCACCCGAACATCGCGACTCACACTCATGACACTGGCCTCGTCAGATCCAGCCTCGAACAGGAGCTCGGCAGTCGACTAGCCACAACTGTTTCCAAGGTCTCATCCGATCCATCTTCAGCCCTTTTGTTGCAAGCTAGATCCAAGGCTGAGATGGTGATGGAAGCAGAATCCGCCCAGTTGAATGGCATCTGTGTAGATACGCTCGAAGTCTGGCCAGAAATTCTGCCGTCTGATGCCGGAAAATTGAAGCATTTGACAACCGTCCCTACGAGTCAGACTAAAGTATCGGGTAAAGACAAAAGTCAGCCCAGTCAACCGGCCAGCTTGAGAGGGTCGCTTCTGGCCAACTTCAGGCCCAATTTCTTACATTTTAAGGATACAGAGTCAGCCTCCTCTGAACAGCTTCACATCTCTGGTGAAACAGGCTCCTGTAGATTGGAGTTTGACGCGGTCGCGACGACAACTGAGCACGTGACGCCGAACTCGATGGCAACAGGGAATGCCGGGTCGCCCGGTATTCGCTCAGCCACTGGAGTTTTGTTGTCGGCTTCGAATTCTCCCATTACTTCGGAACCCAGGCTCGAGTCTTCTGGTATCCTACCTCCGCTTAAACCTTTTGACCTACATGCGGACCAATCCTTCCGACCGGGCCAAACTCTGGCCCACCCTTACAGCGATGGCTCATCCTCCTTCTCTTTGTTCCTTTCCCGTCTTACCTCTTCTCATGGAAATCCTCTGCTCTCCAACCTTCCTTCGGTCCCTTGTGTTACCACAGAAACTGGTAGTCGAGATGATGCTCGAAGATCTGTCGCTACTGCCTCCGATCTTCACTCGACCAGCCTTCCAGAGGGGTCAACAGAGGCAAGCGATACTACCTTTTTTAACAAATCCAGAAAACTGAAGCGAAAACTGCCTCAAAAAGGGAACAGTGATGATGATCTTCCAGTGACAAGGAATGAAGAGAGTGCAGCAACCTACTCTTTGTTGAAGGTTGGTAGTCATGTTTATTCTTGTGCCTCTGATTGATGCCAAAGACTTGCCTGATAAATAGGACGGTTGAAATCGCACTCCTGGACGTTTGTTGCAAGAGACCTGAGCTGAGAAGGATAACGTAAAGGGAGATGAAAGAATGTAGTGGAGTGGTCTTATATAATTGGAAAAGTTTGCATAATACTGTAGTGATTCTTACCAGTTCTTGCTCACCTTCTGCAGGAGATCGCTTCTATTGCATTACCCTTTGCTATTTTGACAAAAGGACTGCTTTTAACAGGACCCAGTCACTACTGTCCAATTGTATCTACCAGACTATGATTAAGGGACCAAATTTAGTCAAGATTTACAAGTGTTAAGTTTACTTTCATTTCGAGTGAAAGTGGGCGACAATGAGGAGATCCGCAGGTCGATCCCACCAGAAGAAGACGCCTATTTCCTCTTGGCCAATTATCAGTTGGCTTTATCAGAGCATTTACTACCTCGAGGACAGCATTGGTCAAGCGTAATCCACTATCGTCTTCTGAATCTCTTCATCATCGCCCATCTTCACTCGAAATACAAGTCAGCTCAACAATAAAAGAAGTTCGTTGACATTCTAAAGTATACTCATCTTATTGTTAAAAAAATCAACTATTAGTCCCTGTATCTCAAGAAGCGACCAATGCCAGCTAAATTTTTATTCAAGCATTACTGATGGTCTCACGTTGAAAATTCCAAATTAGGATGACATCTTTCAACGACTTGATCTGTGTATTGGCTTAACTCCGAACCCTAATCCTGCATTGTGCGCACATCGCTGCTACCCGGTGTGATGTGTCCTTGTTGGTACCGTAAAATTTCAATACTTATTTTCAACGCTTTATGTCGACTTGCGGATTGGATGAATGGTATTGTGATCGACGATCATCTCATGTAAAATTCCTCTTCTGGTCTATTAAATTAACACGTATCGTACTGCAGTCTAAATAAACGGTAGTAGAAGATTTCGCTTTAGAACAAGGCACCTTCTTCGATTGACTGCTTGCAAATTTTGTTATTTACTTGGCTCTAGTTGAGCTGCCCATGACGAACTGAAGTGTGTTGTGTTGTGACTTTTCATTTCGAAGAAAAAGTTGGTTGGAAGGAATTCTTGAATTGGTCATACCGGAAACTGAAGGACTAACCGCCGTGAAGGGAAGACTCAACTTCTTGCGACCCTGATTGACCCATGCTTAGGCTTCGTCTATCCTCTCCTGATAGACATTGTCAGAGGGAGAAGCCAAATGGCACCAGATATAATAAACTAAGAAACAAAGGATGGCTCAATACAATCACACTCATTTTGTACACTTAACTTTGTGATCCTAGTATGGCAGCTCATGATTTGTTTGGCTATTTCTTGCAGACGGAGCTTGCTGCATAAAGAGGAAATTGATTCAGCGACAGCTGTTTGCTTGCCCGAATAGTCAAACGTATGAGCTTGGACATTTTCATGTTCAAGAAAGTATGGTTTCTCTCTCTGACAATGTTTGTTACGACGTAACAAACGAAAGCTTATCACGAGCCTATTGGAATCTCTGGACGTTGAACCGTGGACTTATTGACACAATACAGCAGTATTTACTCTAAAGCAATCCCACTTTGGTTGCTAATTAATTCTTTCTAACCAACGGTTTCATCGAAATGGAAAATCGAGACGCGATAACTCACCAAAGAATTTTTCGAAATCGATTTTTTTCATATATATATACACACATTTGTTTGGAAAAACTCTTGACATGGAATACGAAATAGACAACAGGCTTCTAGCAAGTACACGATCCAACGATTGAAATTGTCATCTGGGTCACCCTGACAGCACGAGCATGTTTCGAAAATGAGGTCAAGCCACTTATATACCAATTCACAAATTCCTTCCAATCAACTTTTCCATCGAAATGTAAAGTCGAATAAGGCTTACTCAGTAAGGGACTGTTTAAACCTT